TATTATACTATATATAATACTAGGAACTGCTCTGTGTCTCTGGTGGCTGTGTCTGGCCGTATGGCCTTGAGATAGAAGCTTGTCCTTTCATCTGTAACTGCAGATGTAGGAAGAGGACTTGGAATGCCAGCAACAAAGTGGAACAGTAGTGGGGAGAAGCTTATTCAAGACATCTTGGAAGGAGCCTTTTTGAAAAGACCTTCTTTGCTTTTGAGCATGTCAAGTGAAGGCTTAGTATGAAAACAGAAAAAATTAAACCAAAATGTCATATGGATATCTGGATTAAAATTAATTTAGGGCAGAGGTATAGAAGATTCTTCCAGACTTACTGTGGATGGGATGCAGCTTCCCAGGTTTTGACTGGGTTGCAGATTGGAATTTCCTGGTCTGCTTTTTAAGCTATAAAAAGTATTTGAGGTGTATTGTTGCTCCGCTGTATATATTAAGACATAAGTTTTGTGATAAATCTTTAGATATTGCTGGATATAATACCCAAGTCTCTTCAACACTTAGTGAACCAGTGAAATGTGAAACTGTTCGAAGCAACGATGATAATATAATCAAAAGTTTAGCAATTTCCCATACTAACATGTGCTTAAGATATTGTGGTGAACATATCATGGCATAAACTGTTACCTTATTAAATATTTTCATTAACAAATTTCACTTAAAAGGTAGGAGTGCAGTAGCAAAATTTGCTGATGACACACCATAGGGGCATTATCAATACAGCAGAAATACTGAACAGGAAAAACAGAACAGGTTTGAGGCTTCCAGCAGTAGGAATTGGAGGAAATTTAATAAACTGCAGTGTCACGCACCTAAGAACATATAGTAGTTCTTGCTGCAAACTCATCAGTTGGTCTTTTATTCCAGTGACACTCCAGAGATTCTCAGGCTATTCCTGTAAGACCTGCAAAATGTGATTTGGAAATGCATGTCCATCCTAACTATTTTAAAATCACTATAGGGGTATCTTCAAGTAGGGAAAACCTCTGTAATTAGTTATTAGTGGGATAACTTGCAACTCCAGTGACTAAAGCTGTTGAAAAGACAAATGCAGACAAATCCAGATGTCCTAGGATGCAGAAATCCAGGATGCTTCCATTAAAGATGGAATATTTGACTCATGCAATCAGTTTTATGTCTCTCTCTTTTTTTTTTTTTTTCCTTTTTATCCAGGTCAACCAGTTCAGACAGCTCTATTCCAAAGTGATCAATGATAAGCATGATGATGTTATGGCAAAGTTTGGAGCAATCCTGGCACAAGGCATTTTGGATGCAGGTAATTCCCCAAACATTTAAAGCAGTCAAAATTTCTTAAACTTGTTTAGCTACAGTAGCTGTAATAGCAAATTTCATTTGGGAGACGGGGTGCTGACTTTATTCCTATTGTGTAATAGTAGCAAGAAATCTCAAATTTCAAGTCATTTTAGCTAATTAAAGAAAGAAACCCTGTTTTGTAGTTTCAGCTTGTATCAGCGTACTCATGTTAGGAGAGATTCAGCCCAGTCATTGGGGCAGAATTTGCGTCCAGAAGTCTGGACAAATAGGATCTTTTTGCTATAAGTCTGTTTTGACACCCTGAATGTTGATTTATAGCATCATAGGTTGCTGTTTTGTTTTTCTAAGCACTTGCTACATAAATTTGGAAACCTTGTGGTATGCAGTCCTCATATTTTGCTTTTTCTGTTAAAACTTGCCATAGCCAGCTTTAAAAATATACATATTTGTATTAAATATGTTTTTAATAACTAGATTTTGCCTGTTTTATTAAGAGAGGTGTTGCACAAAGAGGGAAACATTTATCTGCATCAGTGTTACTTCAGAAGACTTGGTTAATGTCACAGACTGTTACCTTTTTGTAGCAGAGGAAACATCATTTCATAATTATTAATGACTAAATGTTGAGCCATAGATAGGATTCTCTAAAGGCATTAGCATTTCACAAGGGCTGAATTGCAGGGCCTATTAAGGAAGGTTTCTGTAAGCAAAGAAGACAGACAATGTTTTGTTTTGAATTTTTCTTTCTGCTGGAGTTAAGGCTTGTACAGTGCTGTGTCTGTCAATAGCACCCCCTTCCCAAGTTTCCAAACACAGTTTCTCCCATCTGGTCTCTCGTGCTGTGGCCTTTTCTTGCCATGCACCTCCTTATTCCCTGTGGTAGGTAGAAACAAGCTGGTTTTCCCTGTACTCTGAGATCAAGGTTAGTCCTGAAATCACATAAGCAAAGGAGTCTCATACATTTGTCTCTGTGGCATGGCTTAAGCAGAGCACCATGCACTGTGGTTACACAGTCTCTGTATGAAATTATTATATCTCCAAGCCCTGTGGTGGCGGGAGAAAAACTTAGAGCTGCCCGCACCTATCTGCGTGGAAGCGTGCTTAAAAAGCTCTCTTCCTGGCAGGCATGCGGCAGTCAGGCTACTCTATGCTCTATGACTAGGGCTACTCAGAGAAGAAAGCAACAAGAACCACCTTCTTTCTCTCTCTTTCTTGCCTCCCAGGTAGCCTCCTGGAGCTCAGACTGAGCAATGTTCTTGGTACAAGACTCTTAGAATAATTTTGATCATTCCCATACTCATACTATGTTGCTGGGAAGGCAGAGCCCAGCTGGCTTGGAGACTTTTCTCTCAGCAGTAGAGACCTGCTTCAAATTCCGACCTTTAAGATTAAATCATAAAAAAGCAGCTAAAAACTTACTTGCTTCCTGTGTCACTCATGTATTGTATAATGACTTAGAAACCAGAAGCATCCAGTTTTAATAAACCACATGTGAATTTGTTACAACTTTAACCTCTTTATTTCTTGCTGAGCAGCTGGGGGAAGGCTGTGAACTACCCTTTCTTAACCTATTGCCACTTTGATTAGAGCTTCTTAAAAGAATAAAATCTTTTTATCTCTCCCATACAGCTACAAGTGCTTATCTGAGACAATGAACTATAGAATTTAATTATCACTACCAGGAAGAAAAGGTTCTTTGTGTCATCTGCCACAGTTGGGGCAATTGAGTTTCGTTTTTTTTGTTGGAGTTTTTGTGGGGTTTTGGGTTTTGATTTTTTGGGGGGATGGGGGAAGAGAAAAGTATAATTCTCTTTCAATGACAGGCTTTGATTAAAAGCGCAAGATTTCCAGTGCGTGACTGGGAAATGATGGGAGGTGGGTTTTTTTTGCTCTGACAGTGAGGCAGTCATTAGACTGGTGGTTTCATGGCAGGAGCAGGGTACCTTGGGAGCACTAAAGTGGAAATGAAGAATGTGGTCATTGTCTAATTGTTAGGCCCCGACAGCTACATTTTCACTTCTTTAATAAAACAAAAAGGTAGGAACTCTAAATTTAACTTGGGGATTTTTTTTCCCCAAAAAACCTCTGGATTTTTATAATGCTCCCCTTCATGTACAAACATGCTGTCATTTTCCAGGCTGATGACTCCCTTTCTGTTCTTTGCAAAATCAATATGCTTTATTTTCTGGAGTATGTATTTTTAAATGTGAACTACAAAAGGAATATACTGATCTAGTTGGACGTCAGCATTTTACCTGCTTGTAAACTATTTTCCCCTCTGTACTCTAGGTATCTTCTTTGGTTCTTAACGCCACATTTCTCAACCAGTGATAAAAAAGGAGGAGCAGCAGTCTTGACACAAATATCTGTGTAGTGTATCTGGAAAATTCTTTTCTCACTATTTAGGAAAGGTGTGCTTGGGCACAGTGTAGCATTGGTCAGTGCAGACTGAAGCCAAAGAAGTTGTTGACAGCCTGATGGTGAATGTACTGCATTCTCCACAGTTTGGAGACATTTGTAATGACTGATGAAAAAGAAAGTGTCATCCAAATTATAGAGGAAAGAATTGCCTATCTTGTCATTGTTGTCTCTCCAAATACGCATCTCACATGATGTGTTATGTTTTGGATGTTAAAGACTTTACTACAAACTTTTCATAAGGTCTGCTCTCCCAGGTGTTGAATTCAGTGTTACAGTTTCCAACCTTTCTCCTGCATGTCCCTGTTCATGAGCTCTTCATGTAAAGTTGGGTCTAACTCTCTGGTAGTTAGGAAAAAAGCCATTATCCTGTAGTAATGTTTTTGTCCATTAGATTAGAGCTACCTTGTCTTTCATTGCCCATGTGAATCAGGTTGCTGGCACATGCTAAAATCAACTCTGCCGGGGTTTTGACAGCTTGTCCTGTGAGATTTTGACTTTTCTGTGCTGCTGCTTAACAGTTCACATTGTCTTCATTCACTACATGGATGAAGTGGACTATAAGTCTGCTGATAGAAACAGTATGATGTTGTTTGAAAATGGGATGCTGCCTAGGCCAAGGTTGGAAACTAATTTTCAAGGTCTACAACTTGTCTTTAATGACTGTTGTGCTGATGTGTTGTCCTAGGCTACACTGCCAGAGTGTTACCAAGTGACACCATGGCTATGTAAAGAGTGAGTTAATCAAAGCGTATAAACCATCAGTGTCTGCTTGCTGCACTCCCCCTCTTGTTAACTGACATTAAACTTGAGCCAGCAAATCCTCATGGCCTCTAGAACAGTCACTTTAATTCCAGCTAACCTTGCTGTAGTGGCAGTGTGAATTCTGGGAGATAGACCTTATAGTACTACCCAAGGAGCCCTGAAAATTTTTCTTGTGTGTGTTTTGAATTTTTTTTTCCAGGCAACATGTTACAGCTTTCATCCATCCAGTCAAAGATCTGGAATGTGTTCCCTTCCAGGATGTCAGGACTGCTACTTAATCATAAAGATAAATCACAGTTGTGCAATATCATGTCTCCCCACCTTTCCTGCTCCCTGCAAAACCCTGGGAGTGAGGGTGGGCTGTGTGTGGGTGTAAAACAGCAGAAAGAAGGAGCATGACAACATCTTTTGAATATGAAATCTGTTACTCATCCAGGAAATTCCAGAGATTGGATAATACAATTCTAAAGGTTAAAATAAATTCTGAAAATGAAAGTCCAAAAGTTTTATGAAGTCTAGTTAAGCTGCTTGTGCAACATTCGTTGGGCTGCTTGATCCAGAATATCTGCAGATTACTGACCTGGCCCTTACACAGTGATGCAGTGAAGAAAAGCTCAAAGTAAAGATCAGGGAGAAAACCAGAAATTTGAGTGTGCAGTGTTTGAGATGTTTAAGGATAGCACAAGACCTCAGGCAGTCCCTCCTTGATGCTGTGGCAAATCAACTATAAGGGTGAGAGATTGGTATCGGAGAAAATAATGAGAAGCAGAGCAGACCTAGCAGTAGTAAAAAATGAGACTGTATCATTGCCTTTCTTCAAAGAGGTGGCAGGAAGGAGTTCTCCAGTCAAACAGCAGCAGATCTATTGCTACCACGAAAGGAATCATAGAATCACAGAATTGTTTGGTTGGAAGGGACCTTAAAGATTATCCAGTTCCAGCCCTCCTGCATGGGCAGGGACACCTTTCAGTAGACCAGGTTGCTCAAAGCCGCATCCAACCTGGCCTTGAACACTTCCAGGGATGGGGCATCCACAACTTCTCTGGGCAACCTGTGCCAGGGCCTCACCACCCTCACAGTGAAGAATTTCTTCCTGATATCTAATCTAAATCTTCCCTCTTGCAGTTTAAAGCCATTGCCCCTTGTCCTATCACTACATGCCCTTGTAAGTAGTCCCTCCCCAGCTTTCTTGTAGGTCCCTTTAGGTACTGGAAGGCTGCTCTAAGGTCTCCCTGGAGCCTTCTCTTCTCCAGGTTGAACAACTCCAACTCCCGCAGCCTGTCTTCATAGGAGAGGTGCTCCAGCCTTTGGATCATCTTCATGGTTTCCTCTGGACTCGCTCCAACAGGTCCATGTCCTTCTTGTGCTGAGGACCCCAGAGCTGAAGGCAGTACTGCAGGGGGGGGTCTCACCAGAGCAGGGTAGAGGGGAGAATCCCCTCCCTCGACCTGCTGGTCGTGCTGCTTGGGATGCAGCCTGGGATATGGTTGGCTTGCTGGGCTGCCAACACACATGGCAGGGTCATGGTGAGCTTCTCATCAACCAGCACCCCTGAGTCCTTCTCCTCAGGGCTACTCTCAATCCATTCTCTGCCCAGCCTGTATTTGTGCTTGGGATTGCCCCGACCCAGATGCAGGATCTTGCACTTGGCCTTGTTGAACTTCACAAGGTTCACACAGACCCACCTCTCAAGCCCGTCAGGGTCCCTCTAGATGGCATCCCTTCCTTCCAGCATGTCAACTGCACCACACAGCTTCGTGTTGTCAGTCAGCTTGCTGAGGGTGCACTCAATCCCACTGTCCATGTCGCCAATAAAGATGTTGAACAGCGCCGATCCCAATACTGACCTCTGAGGAATACCGCTTGTCACTGGTCTCCATTTGAACATTGAGCCGTTGACTGCAGCTCTTTGAGTGCGACCATCCATCCAATAAGAAATACCAAGGACATAGTATGTATGAAGAGTATCCTACAGGAGGGCATCAAAATCCTCTATATTCCACTGCTTCTCCTGGGACTAACACTGACAGATACCCAAGATGAGATTAGTGCTTCATTCAGGGTTTTCATCAGTTTTGGCAGCAAAAATTAATTTTGCATGTCTTTAAAACTCAGGCAGGTCCATTGCTGCCTGGTCCTATCGAGGTGGCTGTTTGTGCGAGGCAGGGGAATGCTACGCCAGTTTGGGATTTTCAGCTATAAAGTGCCCCGAGTTTGAAATGAGTGGGTGTTTGTATTTTAACAAAGTTAACCTCCCTGTGCCTGGTCATGTCAGCGGTAATGAACTTGCCTGGTGCCCTCTTCAACTCAATTCACTGTGTTCATCAGAAAACTGAAGATCAGATTAACACTTTCTCATTCTGTCTGCAAGCCCAGTCTTTCGATTTGGTTTCTAGCTGGATGTTTCTGCACTACATCAACACATGGAGTTGTTTTGGTCTCTGCTTTGCAAGTAGAAAGCTAAGACTTGGTTGTCTGGCAGAGATGTAATTTTGCTGCAAAGACTGCAGGATCTTGTCTCTTTGCTGCTTAGATTGATAACCTTTAGAAGCAACTTCTGAAGTTGCTGCTGTTTACATTTTTTTCTACTGAGATGGTGTAGGATAAAAACCTAGGCATATTTCTTCTGAATAACTGACAGTTCAGGGAGGCAGCCACAGAAAGAAAAGTTTCTGTATGCGCTGTTTTCCTTGTAACTCTTGTCTTGTGGATCATCTATATGCTATGATCTAGAACTGCTTATGGCAAAGGTTTGCCTTTTTCACCCCCTCTCCCTGCCTTCTGCATTGTACTTTTCTTTAACCTGTATCCTGGCAAAGTGAGCATGGAAGGTCTGTATCAAGGATTCACTGATTGTGTTTGGATAGTATCTAGCAGATAGAGCAGTTTGGTTGTTATGCTGCCTGTCTGTTTTACTGTGTAAGCTGAGATCACGGCAAAGGAGGGAGGTGTGTTCCAGAGGAGAAAGCTGACAGCACTGTGACCTGGCTTGCACAGTGTAGCCCTCTTCACAGCAGCTGTTTAGAGATGCATTGCTCAGGTGTCTTTATGGAGTACACAGGAACGCATTCATTACCTTATTTCATTTACTGTTCCTTACAGGGGGCCATAACGTAACTATTTCACTGCAGTCGAGGACAGGACATACTCACATGCCTTCTGTGGTAGGGGTTCTGGTCTTCACCCAGTTCTGGTTCTGGTTCCCCCTGTCACACTTCTTGTCGCTGGCTTTCACCCCAACCTGTGTCATTGGCCTTAACAAGGATCTTAAGGTATGTAATGAGCAGAGAGGAGAAGAAGTGCTGATAGCTGCTTGGAAGGCTCGAGTGGTCTGGGAGGGGTATGCATGGATTTGTTGACTTTCTTTGCATGTTGCCAGCTTGTTTGTGGCAGAAAAGGTGCTAACTGGAAGAAGTCTGAAAAGCAGGCTTAAATTGTGGAGCTGGTGGTGTGAATAAGGACAAGAAAAATGTAGAGAGCGGACTTTGACCCCTTTACTTCAAACTAGCTTACAAAGAAAGGAACTCTAGTCAGCTAGCAGTGGGAAAACAGGATTTATTTGGATTCCTTGGGGAGTAACCATTAAACCAAGCAGTCATGGGTACTGCACTTTTCTTATGCATCTGTTCTTCCAACTCATCAGCTGTGGTATGGCCCCTGCAAGCTGTGTACCATGCTGGGTCTCCCATGCTGAAGAACTGAGCTAGTAACCTCCACAAAAAAGCTTGTGAACGTGGCAGCGCAGGGGTGTGCAATCCCTCCTGTCATTGCTGCAGGCTTATTCTCTGATGCCCAGAGCATGCATAGGGCTGGGCAACTCTCAGAGTCCCTCTGTGGGACTGGGCCAGCTTGCTGGATTGCACCCCCTGGACCAAAACCTTGGGGCTAAAGCTTGCTCTCCTTCACTTGTCTCAGGCTAAACATCGAATCAATCTACAAACAGCTTGAAATTCTTGCTCTGTTTAAAGAGAGACCCTTGGATTAAAATGCCTTTTTTTTCCTTTTTCCTTTCTGTCCTGAATACTTTACAGGGTTTGCATTGCTGCTTGTCTCTGTGCTGCCCCACTCGTGATGGGCTCAGCGCCTTTTTGGCTGCTTTGCTGTACTGCCATTTTGACTCCCTCTCCCCATCCCTTAGAGTTTCCAGGGAGCCCAAACGGCTGTAGGTCAGGTTATGTTGTATAACTTGGCTTGCATACTGAAGCCAGCTACAAGCTGGATGTATGTTATGGGCTGCACCACACCCACCTTGCTTCCTCAGAGCAGTCCCTGTTTTATTGTTGCTCCATGATGTGTCGTAAAGGAAGAGAGCTGAGATACTGCAGAAATTAATTCAGTCTAAGAATTTGGATTGGCTGTCAAAAGATGCTTTCTGCCCTAGCTTAAGTGGCCGAGTATGTGACATTGGTAACCCACCCCAAAATGTACTGTCCTTTTGCAAAAGGTGAATGTCAGACAGTGCTTGGTTTGCCCTAGCGTGCATTGACAGAGCAGATCTTCACTTAGATCTTAAATCAATTGTGTGTTAATACAAGCAGGCACAGCAGCAACATCAAAAGCACAAAAGCTTCGAAACAATGAAAACAAAGCATGGTGTGAATAGTGTGGAGTGTATGGAGAAGCCTAGGAGAGCTTGCCAGAGTCGAATTATAGAATAATTAAATAACATTGTTCTACTTGAACTGTTGCCACTGATAACAGTTTCTCAGCTTCCGGAGGGGGAGAAAGGGAAGCGTGTATTCTTTAGAGGGTCTGTGTTTGTCTCTGTTGGAAGGAAAATGAAGCTAAAGTAATTATTGTGCTGTGGATTTTTTTTTCCCCCTGCTTTTCTCGTCTCTAACAATTTTTTAAACTGTTTGTCTTAGATGCCAAAAGTCCAGTACAAGTCCAACTGTAAGCCGTCCACATTTGCCTACCCTCCACCTCTTGAGGTACCAAAGGAAAAGGAGAAAGAAAAGGTATTTGGGCTAGCTTTCTGTGTTGTAAAGACTAACCCCTTCTCCCTCCTCATATAAACATTGACTTTGGTGGCACTAACAGGGAATCTGAGGAGCGAAAGAAAAATTGGCAGGTGCTATTGTCTCTGAAAGAGAATTCTAGCTATTTTTTCCTGCTGTGCCTGGGACTGTTGCTGATCATGGCATACAAGTGCTGTGCTACTGGGTTGCTGGAACCTCCCTTGTCTCCAGTGGTCAAGCAGAAGCATCGATTAAAAACAACTGCTTTCCATGCCCTACTGATTGTATGTGTGTCTCATCTTTGTGTAGCACTTAGCACAGTGGGGAACTTGTCTGTGACTTGGGCTCCAAGGTGCTACTGCAGTACAAACATTGAGAATATTAGGTGTGACTCTTCTCAAATAGTCCCATGTGGAAGGACAGAAGCTTACCTGGTCTCAGGGCAGTGGGCCCATGTGCTAGAATAATAGCTGTCAGGCCCATGGATTACAAAAGGTAAGTGTGGAACTGAGAATATCTAGGTATTGAAAGGGAAGAGATGAGACCTGTGGGATGACAAGCAGGACAATAGCGGAAGCAGTTTGTCTCCTGGCACAGGATGGTAAAAGCTGTTGAGCAGACCACAGCAGCAGGCAGAGCAGCCCTTAGGGAGCAATTGCAGCAGTGGAGACCTCAGGCATGTCATGCTGATGAATTACATTGTATGAAAACTGTAGAACATTGTACCAGAATTGAATGCTGGGCAGAACAGATTTCTGAGTCACTGAGGAACCCAGAAATGAACTCAGATGAAAGGCAAAGCTCACTGCTCATAGCTGCTTTCTCACCTTTGGAATAGGACGGCAATTGGACAAATCCTTTCTCTTTTAAACTTCCCTGGCCAAAATTAAAATGTGCCAAGAGCCTACATTTAGCCTAGAAAACCTCACCAGCAGCATGACAAGTGCAGTTGCTCCCTGTACCTCAGAAAGTTACTGTCTTACAGAGGCGGTTACTGTGGATAGAGAGATGTGCTCACTGGAAGGGAGATGTGCTGAATTCTTGTATTTGAGTGTTGCTTCTGGGTACTTTTTGGCTCAGGAGTGCCAAAGCCTCCTGAGGGCTCCTCCATATGACATTTTGTGTATCTACTTCTTTAGATCAATGAGCAACATAGCTGTCTGATTAAGACAGTGGAACAGCTTTAGGTCATTCTAAAGAGTATCTATGTACATGTTTCTTTACCTTGGAGACTCTGCAATGGGTTTTCCTGTAATAAGAATTCCATTTGTTGCTCTGTTAAAAATAAAGAAACCTCTCATATAGAGATCCAGATAGTAATGATTAATCTCTAAATTAGGAAGTTTGCTCTCCTTCTGCATATGTAGCTGGACCCAGTCTGCATTCATGACATTTTTTCGTCCCATCTGTGCCGTTTGTTTGCTTTGATGGTGGTGTGTTTGTCTCTTAAACAGAGCAGTGGGTAGGAGGTGGAATTGATCTTTTTGACGCTTGCACTGAGAACTGACCTAACATTGATTTCCCTTTGTTCCCCTGCCTGGGGAGCTGAAGCACAGCGTACAGTGTTGCAGTCACGCTGAATGCCTCCTATGTTGACATATCCAGGTTTCCACTGCTGTGCTGTCCATCACTGCAAAAGCCAAGAAGAAGGAAAAGGAGAAAGAGAAGGAGAAGAAGGAAGAGGAAAAGATGGAAGTGGTGGGTGCAAACATTGACATTAAATGTCGTCTTCTCCCCCTTATAAATGTGGAAGGTGTGTTATGAAAGCTGGCACCCACTTAATGCCATCCCCTCTGCCACCTGTGTCAGTTCTGAGCAAAGCATTAACACATGTTTCAGTGTACTGTATACACTGGGTAGCATCTCCACTCTGTGTGTGTGTGTGTGTATATGCACATGTGCTGTTAAAAGCAAGAGGTGGTATTACTTGTGAATCCATTACTTCTGAGAAATATATCTTCCTTGATATTGTTAAGTAATTGACTTCCTTAAAGGCAGAAGCTTGTTTTGAGAAATTTATGTGCTTTTAACTGCATGAACCTTTTGTGCATTTTTTCATTGCCTGCTGTTTCTAGACCAAGGGAATTTTATCTGTTATCCATGTACTTTTCTTACTAATATTGAAAAAGTCTTTGTAATTTCTTGTCCTTGGTACCTCTGAACTTTTAAAACGTACTCGATGTTGTAGCAGTTGCTTGGTGGTGTCTAATTCAGTTGAAAGCACTGAAGAGTTTTTTGCACATGCTTAACCCCCTAATTCTGAAATGTTCACCTTTTTGGCAGCAGTCTCTTATGTGCTTTGCCCATCTATCAAAATCCCAAACACATGTCCGCACCCAGCTCAGAACCAGCTGATCTTTGAGCACAGGATCCATATGCTGTTCAGTAGTTATGGTGATTGCTTTGGTCCTCTGATGATTTCTTTCAACTTATAGACCTGACACTGGAACTTGTCATCCTCTCCTGTGAATAATGTGTCATCCTGGAGCAAGCTGAGGGATAGAGATGGCTGGATAATGAGTTCTTGGTGGTTGCTGTAATTTGGAAAACATATGGCAGCCAAAATTCTTGCTGTACCATGACAAAGGACACTTCTTTTTGTGCTCTACTAACGGATGTAAATATGCCAAGAACACCTGTAAGCTGAAAATGCATTATGCTGACAAGCTCAGTAGAAACCTTTCTGATTCTACTTTAACATCTATGTGAGAAAAGCAGCATGGTCACAGAATTTTTGGCATCTTTAATTTTAAAAAGAAACGCACAAATGGTATGTGAAGGGACTCTGGCATAAGATCAAAGGTGTCTGTGTAAAATAACTTTCCTAGACCTACTTAAGTGTGGCAATGTTGTAGGCACTGAACTTTATCCAGTTGGCCCAGAAAATGAATCATCTCATGTGTGCAAAGTAGAATCTCTCTTTTTTGTCTTTTTGCTCCTTTATCAAAGTCTCCTTGTCACCAAACATTGCCTTTTCTTTGAATTATTCTTACAGCACTATATATTAAGCAAAATGTGCTGAATAGATGCATGTTTCTTCCGAAATTGCTACGACATACAGTTAAGTACAGGTGTTGAGAGGAAGCAATATATTAGAAGGGATTCACGTGCTGTATCTGGATGTTGGTACTCCAGATGTGTGAAAAGTTTTCTTGGCTGAATTGAGCAGAAAAAATGAGGATAGTAAAAGGGAGCTTGCTGCCACCTGCTGTGTTTGAGTTGAGTGTTTTGCCATTGTCCTAATGTTTTAAGAGGTATAATTGCTTTCCTGTTTTTCTCTTATGCCTGTTACATGACTAGTAATCCATAGCTTCGAAGAGATCTGCACAGCAACAAGCAGTTGGTGTGCCAGAGAAAGTCCTGTCTGCTGTTCCAGGTCATGCCATGCATTTGGTCGTGTTCATGATCATTTCCTATTGGTTGTTTCTATCTTTTCTGCAGTTGTTTGTGTTTGCAACTCAGATCTTCCTGAGGAAGAGGGAAAACATGATCCATGTTCTTAAGAATATAAAGGATACTGTGTTTTTTCCTTCTGAGCTTTCGCC